AAAAAAAAAAAAAAAAAAAAAAAAAAAAAAAAAAAAAAAAAAAAAAAAAAAGGAAGAAAATAAAAATAGTTCGGCTCATGAGTTCCGCCTAGCTGAGTAATGTCCAGACAAAACACGGCAATAATGATGTCGCGACAAGCTTTTCAGTTTAATAGATCAGGATAGAAGAATCAAAGATTTCATGGTTAATTCCTTAATTATAATTTACCAATCTAATAATCATCCGTAGTTGTTGCGACTTGAGATACCTGGGCAGAGCTAAGGTACATACCTGCCCATAGGGCAGCAAGCTAGGGAAAAGTGGATGATCTTGCGGCTGTTCTCATCCGCGCCGTACCGAGTTCGCCAATCCTGTTCTTCCTCTTTCTATGGGTATAATAATCTTAAGGCCTGCTACTAATCACACCCCTTCCTTTCCTCTCCTTGTCGGATTTCTCTTCCTTCCTTTACTCCCCTCTCCTGTGTTGATACGCTACGCTCTTCTTGTTCTTTGCCTGTTACATACAAAAGCATTCGCGCTCCTTCAGCGTCTTTCTATTCAGCAATTGGATTCTAGTGTCTTATCTGTTCAGCCTCTTCCGGTTATCCCGGCACCCGTTTTGCCGGACCCATCGCTTAAAGATCACACGGGGAAAGGTGCTCAACGCTCTTGAGAAGTCGGCCAAATAAAAGGGACGTACCTACGTTATTGTATTTGCTAGGGACTTTCTCTAGCCCTCGCCATTCCACAGGGAAGGAACCAAACGGAGTGTACCCTTTGACGCGACTTCTTCAATACCTATAAAAGGACGTGACAAGTCCGCTTTCCTCCGGAACAAGGATACGAGAATCAGCTCCGAAAGCAAAGGCCCGGCCTTCACACCCATGGCGACCGAAGTCCAAACCTTCTACACCCCTTCCGCCACGGCGCACATCTCCTCCCATGCTCCGGCCGCCGTCGACGAGCTCATCAGCAAGTATTCATCCACAATGGCGACTGCTTCGAGCAAACACTCGGCAAGCCACCTGACGCTGAAGAATCCCCGTCGCAACATCCTGCAACGTATTGTCGATCATATTCAACTGGGATATTACCGCTATGAGGTCACTTTCGGACTGTATGTGATGACACCAGGCGAAAAGCTCGTCGCCAACACTTTCGTCATTGTGGTGCTCTCTCTTCTCTTCTGGGCGTTGGTGCTCTACTTCCCGTCTTTGCTGTACCAGAAGCTGAGCCGCCTGGTGTGGCTGCTCACCGGCCATAGCGGTGAAGAGATGGGCGCTGCTTTCGGCATTCTCGATGCGCATGTCAGCCCTGCGTCTTCGGCGTTCTCCGCCTCCGGGAGTCCGTCGTCATGAGAGGGGTGAAATTTTGTATAGACATAAACGACTTTGTACTTTTTCTCTGATATTCCATCCGGTTGGATCTGGAAGTCAGTGTTGACGGTAAGTCGTCTTCCGATCAAGTTTCGTTCTCGCGCAGCAAGCTGACATATTTTTCGGCTCAAAAGATTTTTTATATTATTGCTTTGCAGGCGTTCAAAACGGGGCGTTCTTTGGGCTATCATTCTCATCCTGCCATATAGAATTAATGAAGTGAAGGGAACCGGATTATTAATGTGAGCACGAGTACGGGACGGATTCAACGAAGGTTATAATAATGCGTACTCGAAGATTGGAGGGGCGACAACTGGTGAGCACCTCTGGTTGCTGAGCCGTTCATCTTTCGCTTCTGCACCAGAGGTGTTTTTGGATCGGACCGTGTTGAGTCCTATCACTCAGACTCAACTTATTGCATTCACTAATGTGTCTCTTTGTCGATGTACAAGACTAGCACTCCCGTGCGGAACAGAAGCTGATTGGCTTGTGTGACCGCAAGCGCTGGTTAATGCTTAATGTCAAATGTGAGATTATACGAACAGAACACGAAGATACGCTTCTTGAGCTACAATAAACTCGTAGTGAGAATTAGTTATGTAGAACATCAAACATGCCAAACATGAAGTGGCTGTGCTGAGCCTGCAATGTCTGGTGGACCAATCCCGTCGAAGCGCAGTTAGGTACGGATAGAGTACAGTACCTGACCCAAGCTGTAGTAAGGTAGTAGTAAAAGACTCGCAAGGGAACGATCCACTGGACCAACCTCAGCCTCAAAAGATAAATAATAATCGTCGTAATCTGAGTTTGTGGGTTCCTCGGCAGGATCATTTGATTTGCTGCACCCGACATTGCTTCGTGGCAGTGGCTGGATAGTTAAACAGTGCCAGTGATGTTGTGTCTTACGAGTTCACCAGACGATCGGCGCCAAAAATAGTGCCCCAGAGCCAAAAGTGACTGCCTAGAAAACACCTCGACATCCCTCAGACAACGAACTCTTGTTGATTCGGATTCAGTGGTTACCAGTTTTCTTGGAGTGCCAAGCGAGTCTTGTCTTTGAGTTAGAATCCGTTGATAGACGTCTTTGTCATTGCCGTCTCGTGCTCGCATACGGCTCACTCTTGCCCAGCCGGGATCCATCAAACTAAGGGGAATTATCTCGTTTCAGCTCGTGGCTGCGACTTGTTCAGCGACTTCGTCAACTGAGTATTGAGAATATCTATCTACAGATTCATTGTGATTCCTCTGAATTCATTACCGCCAAATCTCTGAATTTACCGCTGCCATCTGTCTTGTTCTACGATCCATCCCCATTTACAGAGGATTGCAGCAACCTCCGTCTAGCGCCAATATCTCTCTGCCGCGGCTGGCCATCCATTATGGCAGCCCACAGCTATTACAACGGCGGCTACAGCAACAATCCCCCTGCCTACGAGCAAACCCTTCCTCACACCGAACCCGTCGATCGCGTCTCTCCGGTATCGCAGGGGCATGGTTACACAGGCAACAGCGGACACCCTTATCCAACTGCCGACTACGGCTCACATGAGATTCGGCACAGCCAGCATTCGATCGCGTCGGATCAGGGGGCGCCATATGTAGCGGGCGGGAGGTTCAACGAGGCCGATTACTACTCGGACAATATACCGTTGAAAGCACACCATCAGGATCCAAATGGATCTCCACCGCCAAACTGGATGCAGCAGCCAACTCAATATGCGCCAGAACCCGCGGCGATGGAGCCCGCAGGGCCCCCGGTTGCCGCAACGAAGAGACAGAAGAAGGGGATATTCAAGAAGAAGATTGCTTGGGTGACATATACATTGACCGTAGCCCAGATCATCGTTTTCATCGTCGAGCTGGTGAAGAATGGTATGTGGTTCCACCGATTTGTTTTTCCACCCCCCCCCCCCCCCCCCCCGGGGCCGGAGGTCCATCGGACTGACTTTTTTTGCAGCTCAGCTTACAGGAAGCCCGATCGAGCTCCACCCCCAGTTCAACCCGATGATCGGCCCTTCGCCGTACGTTCAGATCAACATGGGAGCGCGGTACACGCCATGTATGAAGAACGTGGACAAGATTCAGAATTCGCAGGTGGAGTTCTTATTCCCGTGTCCAAACGCGACATCGACTGCGGATTTTGTATGCTCCCTCTCGGAGCTGTGCGGTTTCGATGGAGTCCCGAACCCGGTTCCGGGCGGCACCCTGGACGATCGCCCTGAGCCAAATCAATGGTTCCGGTTCATCATTCCCATGTTCCTTCACACCGGGATCATTCACATCGGCTTCAATTTGCTGGTTCAAATGACAATGGCCGCTGATATGGAAAGAACGGTGGGATGGTGGCGGTTCGCCCTTGTGTATTTGGCCAGCGGTATCTGGGGTTTCGTGCTCGGCGGAAATTACGCTGCTCAAGGCGAAAGTTCTTGCGGTTGTTCGGGCAGTCTATTCGGCATCCTGGCTCTCTATATCTTGGACCTCCTCTATACTTGGGGTGAGCGGTCGAGTCCATGGGCTGAGCTTGTGATTATGGTTTTTGGTATTGCCATTTCTTTCGTGCTCGGGTTGCTACCGGGGTTGGACAATTTTTCACACATTGGAGGCTTCGTCATGGGTCTGGCATCTGGTCTCTGCATTATGAGATCTCCTAATGCCCTTCGCGAGCGCATTGGTCTTGCTCGAAACCCGTACGTGGCCATGACTGGTGCCGCGGGTGCCAGCGCCGGTCCAGGAAATAAGGTCACCAATCCTGGCTCGAGCATTGCTGAATTTTTCAAGGCTCACAAGGGCTCTAAGAGCTCGAAAGATTCCAGTGCTCTGGGTTTCTTCAAGGGTCGTAAACCACTTTGGTGGGCCTGGTGGTTGGTGCGACTCGGGGCATTGGTTGCAGTCCTCATTGGCTTTATCTTGCTTATTGTGGACTTTTACAAATATCATACCTCGAATTGCTCGTGGTGCTACAGACTGAGCTGCTTGGTGAGTCGCCTCAATCGAGTCTAGATCCGTGACATACTGACACTTTACAGCCGGTCAATGATTGGTGCGAGCAGGGACAAATCACAGTCGTCAACACGACCACAACAAACTAGGTTCGTTTTTATGCCATAGAGAAATTTAGATCAGCGTTCTCAAAGACATACTGTATATAGTGGTTCAAGCAGGCCGCATTTGGGTTCTATTCATATCAACAAGTGGCGGTGTCCTTTGGTACTTATTCGGGATGATTTTGATGTTACTATACCCAGGAAGAGAATGTGTCTATAGACTAGATTCTCTATCACAGTGACAATGTGACAATTCAGCAGGTCTGATTCCTAAAATATCTTACTTCTTGCAAGTCAACAAAGGTGGCTGTGGCTGGTGCTGACCACGTGTATAATTACGTACGCATTAATGGCTGTGCAGCTGGTAATTACCGTACGATACCGCTATCCTCCCGTCATCAGGACTCCATCAAGAACGGCGATCTTCCGCAATCATCCACCAGGCTCCAGCTCAGCATCATCGCCTTGTTTTTCAGTGCTCTGCTTCCTGCCAGTCTTCGATTCATTTTTTTCGTCTTGCTCTTGTTTTGTTTTCACTATCTGTTTAATCCCCGAATACTAAGTCTTCCTCGCTACTATCCATTCCGCCGCCACGCCAACACGACTATCCCTCCAGATATCTAATTCGCAATGATCGCCTGCTTATAGATCGTCTCGATGCCCTTCTTCTAGCTGCGAAATCTCCAACGGTGATATACACCGGCATTAACAATGGCAACCCTGGCGACATCGCCGCCAACATCTCCAACCTGGCCCAAACGCCGCCCGCGGGCATGGGCCCTTCGATGCGAACGATACTGCTGCGCCGCGGCAACATATTTTCCTCTGGCATTTGTGTACAGTTTGACGACGTGGGCGGTCTACGTCGAAGCGAGTATCGGGTTGAAACCGTCGCGAAGCCCGTGGATCGGTATGTGGAAATTTCGATGACCTTGGATCTGTACCGGATATGCGCGGATGGGGATGGCATCTGAGCTGACTTTGTTTCTGATAGGGTTACCGACCTCGATACTGGGAGTCCTTCTCTACATATGCCTTAATGCCTCGTATACGGTGGCGGTTTTTACGGATCCCGGGTCGCCGCTGACGACCGGCGCTGGTCGGCATCAATACAGTGCGCTGCCGGTCACTGAGTTGCCCGAGTATACGGCGTTTACTGTGAGCTCAACTGGGGGATCGCGGTATTGCAAGAAATGTCAGTGTCCGAAGCCGGACCGGGCGCACCACTGCTCGACGTGTAAGCGGTGCGTGCTGAAGATGGACCACCACTGTCCGTGGCTTGCGACTTGTGTGGGGCTGTACAACTACAAGGCGTTTCTGCTGTTTTTGGTCTATACGTCGCTGTTCTGCTGGGTGGATTTTGCGGTGTCGGCGACGTGGATCTGGACGGAGGTGTTTAACGATGCTCCGTATCTGGAGACGATGCTGCCGGTGAATGTGGTGTTGCTGGCTATTTTGGGCGGAATTATTGGACTGGTGCTGACGGGGTTCACGGCATGGCATATCAGTCTTGCGGTCCGGGGCATGACGACGATCGAATGTTTGGAGAAGACGCGGTATGTGTCGCCATTGCGGAAAGCGCTGGATCGTCACCGCTATGAGCACGTACTGCGGAATCACAGGGACGGGGACGGGGACGGCCAGGCTGCGGACAGCTTTGGTCATAGGCTGCAGGATTACGGGCAGCAGATTCTCGACGCGCATGCTAATGCGATTCCTGGAGTTACTCGGGCCGAGGAAGGGGAGGAACGGCTCTCGCCGGCGCCAGCGCAGCCCGCTGGCCATGGGTTGTCTGATGATCAACTCACGCCCGCGCAACAGGCACTGACACGATCTTATGCGGAACTCGAAAGGCAGCGGGAGCACGACAGGTACCAGGATTATCTGAACGAGGAGGATAATGGAAAATTACCGCACGCGTTTGATCTCGGGTGGCGCAGAAATCTCCTGCATTTGTTCGGCAACCGGCCCCTACTCTGGCTCGTCCCTGTGTGCACGACCACCGGCGACGGTTGGCGGTGGGAACCGAGCCGAAAATTCCTTGAAGCGCAAGAAGGACTACGTCTGAAGCGAGAACAAGACATGGCTAATCAGCAGCATTACTACCGCGACCTGTACTCGCGCAACATGAACAATAGCCGAGCCTGGCTAGAACCGGACGCTGCAGCCCCGACATGGAATCCGAATCAGCCGATAGACAGCTTCCGAAACCCGGAGCGGCCAGCTACGGGTGTGTCGATGCAGACTTTGGCGCCCATGTCCCCGCGACCACGCCCGGGTGATAGTGATTTTGAAGATGATATCAGTGAGACTGATCCTTTGAACCAACAATCTGTCCCTACAAACGGGGCTGTAAACCGATTGCAAAAACCGAGCGAAGCCAACAGCGCGGCCACTAAAAGACGAGAGGAGTCGAGCGAGTGGCGGGACTGGGATTGATACCTTGGTCTAGTTCTTTTGTACTTTGGACATAGCGGCATGCATACATGAATAAGTCGTATATACGGAGTATTTCCGATATGAGGAGATGAAGTTCATGCGGCGTATTTTGTACGATATTTCATATTTCTGAGTTTGATTTAGATTTGTCTTAATGCACTAGAGTTTAATGCACTAGATTTAAATGGCTTGAATCCTGCTAGCTGCTGCTTAAGAGTTGATTGGTGCCTGAGGCATACAGTCCTATCTTACTCCGAGTGCCGCGTGGAAACTCAACGTCATTCGAACAGGACAAGCTGGCATTTATCTCAGACGGAGTACCGCTCTATTTATTCACTCATCTTTTGGAATACATACAAGCTGTCCTACCTACTGATAAACTATGAACTGACACGTTCCAATGCCACATAGGAACATTTGATGCGTATATAGCTCTCACCAGTTGCCACCTTATCAGTCATCAGTCATCACACCCATCTGATAACCTCTATCAGATCTACATCCAACCCGCATCAACCAACACCATCCACAACCACCAACAAGATAATTACATCTCCTGACGGAGTCAGCCTCAGTATGACATCCCCCTCTCACCGGCGCCTCCTAAAAGAAGCCTCCGAACTCGCCTCCCACCCCTCCCCACACTTCACCGCCCACCCCGTCTCCGACTCCAACCTCTACGACTGGCACTTCACCCTGGCCGGCCCGCCCCCTCCCTCCCCCTACGCCGGCGGCATCTACCACGGCCGCATCGTCCTTCCACCAACCTACCCACTGCGTCCGCCCTCCTTCCGCTTCCTCACCCCCTCCGGCCGCTTCGAGGTCAACCGCGAGATCTGTCTCAGTATCTCGGGCCACCATGAGGAGACGTGGCAGCCTGCGTGGGGGATCCGGACGGCGCTGCTTGCGCTGAGGAGTTTTATGGATGCGGATGCGAAGGGGCAGGTGGGGGGGTTGGATGTTGATGTGGGTGTGAGGAGGCAGTATGCGGCTGAGAGTCGGCGGTGGGTGTGTGATGTTTGTGAGGGGGGGAGGAGCAATGAGGAGGTACTGATGGAGTGGAGGGAGGTGTGTCGTGCGAAGGGGGTGGAGGTTGAGGAGGATGAAGTCCAGGGTACTACTCCAGAGAAAACTGAAGCAGGACCCGAACGAGAACCGGAGGATACGAATGCAAAGACAAATACAATTGCAAGTGCAGAGACGACGACTTCTCACCAGGAGTCGGAATCAATGCCGTCGAGGGATGCTGCGCCGCAGCGGGTAGAGGCACAGGTACCGGTGCCATCTGCGCCTGCAGAGGTAGCTGCACCTGCACCTGCACCAGCGCCAACACGCACGACTCCAGTCCAGACTACGACTACGACTACAACTACTTCTCGACCTACTATATCAGATGCACCGTGGCTGGATCGAGCCATCCTGGGCGTTCTTGTTGCGTTGGCCTTTATGATTGTACGGCGGCTTGCAAAGTCGGAGGAGTTTTAGCTATTAGCGCTGTCGTTCTTTCTATCGTGGGCTGGTCCCGGGGAGTATTTGGGATATCTTATTGCTTTTGGTTGGAGTTTGGTGCATGCATGGAGTGATGTTATTCCAAGGTTCTCTGGATTAAGTCCGGATTGAGTCTTGAAACTTTATTCAAGGTTGGCGTTTCAGACAGTACTATACAGCTTGTTTGATTAGATATCATTACATCAGAGTCAAATAGGAGAGAGCCAGATATCATGCCAACACCATCCACCACCATTCTTGAACTTGCCATCCGGTCGTCTCCTCAACGAGTTCTCCATCCTCGTTCTCCCTGCATAAAACTCCCACATCTGCCATCCATTTAAACAAGAGCAGTACCTCCCACGCTCCCATTGATGGTTGCACCATGCTCGCAACTCCCTTGGCACTGATCCCGGGACGCACCGCGACGATCCCCACGACGGCCGCCACGGCAAACTCCCAGAGCACCCTGACAAAGTTGCCATGGATATCAAACCACAGGGGAATCTTCTCAGGAACGAATTCCCCTTCGCTGATGGCAGCACGGGGCGGACACGGCGGGGGCGTATTGGCGACTTTCTCCTGGATAGGATTGCCGTATGTATAAGACGCCTCGACTGGCTGCACCTGGACCACAAAGCGCAACTTGTCTTTGTCGATCTGTCTGGTTAGGTAGCCGCCGTCTGTCAGCCCGAATTTGTCCCGTGGGGGATCCTTCGGTTTCAGAATGATCCTGCGCTCGGCGGCGAGGTTGATCAGGGCGAGGATGTCGCCGTCTTCCGCGTGGTAGTTGATGGTGAACGAGCCGGTGCTTTGCAGCGCCGGATCCAGAGTCCCGGTTTTGAACCGCGCGGCTCGCCGGAGCTGCGTGACCTCGATGTTGCGTCTGCGGCCCAACATGTGCAGGAAGAACTCGGTAATGTCGTAGTTGCGGCCCGGTGTAATGCGTCCTCTGTTGCCCTGTGATACGACCCGCTCCGTTGTCAACGACTGCAGCGCATCGTCGACAAGTCTGCCTCCGAAATTAGCCAGGGCCTGCCGGGCCTCTGCGGGCCGGTATGACTCCTCGGGTGCAACGATGTTGGCTCGAACCCACGTCTTGGCCACTTCCAACCGCGCAAGCTCGGCCTGCCGTGCTGTAGGCTGCGCCGGTTTCTCAGGTAAGGGGATGGCGAAAGGAACGCCTGCGTAGAGAGCACGTCTGCGGTTCACAGTCACTCCATGCGTATTCTGATAGAGTTCATCCAGCGTAACCGGCGCCTCCTCGCGCAGCTCGAACACGCTGTCGAACTGGTCCTTCGTAGCAGGAAGATCCGGCAGCTTCTCGGACTTGGGAATGTCCAGCTCTGCCTGTGCCCAGTCGACAACCCTCTCCCAATCATATCCTTCCAAGTCATCGTAATTGATCGGCGGCACCTGGCCATTCGCGTATGCTACAATAAACCGCTCCTGAAAGTCACTCTGCATCTTCGCTACCTGCAACCGGTTTCTGCTGAGAATGTTCTTCCCCCGCTCTTGGATCATTTTGGGGTCCTGGGTAGGGAAACTCTGGCAAACCAGCTGCCAGTCAACGATCTTGCCCTCGTAGCCGCCGGCTAGTGCCCTAACGACCACAATCGCAGTCAGAATCCTTTCTGCTATCAGACGTGGCAGATGCTGAAGAGCTCTGTTCCGACGGGCAGCCGGTCGGTTCGGCAGTTTTGCCACAACAACATTTCTAGCTCCCTCGGCGGCTAGTTTCTCCAAGCGACGGTTTTGCGGTACGTAGTCGTTGCGCCGTCTGCGTGAGTCGGCGGAGAACAGCAGATCCAGTGCATCTAGCGAGTCGTCCGAATCTTCAGAGTCAGAGGAAACTTCGGATTCCGAAGGCTCTTCCAATTCCTCTGCCTCTTCTGCCTCTTCTGGCAGAGATTTCTCGGGTTCAAGTAATTCCAAACGGCGAGCTGCTTCTCTGATCTTCCTGACTCTCGGAACCCGCACCCTAGGATAGGCGCTCTGATCAATTTCAAACTGGAGATCCCCTTCTATCGTGACTGCTTCTGGAAAATCATCGAACGTTTGGTTGATAAAAGAAAACTCCTGGCCCTCTTCGGCAGGTTTTTCAAGGATGAATTCTTCGTTTTGGAGCTCCCACCTCAAAATCGCACCTGTTTCACAGACGAGCTTGCTTGTGCGTGGATCCACAGCTTTAGACAAGTCCACTGGGGGCCGCTTTACCTGGTTCAAGACGTCGTCCAGAGATTTCGGAAATCGGAAGGCAGCTCTTGCACGGGCAACGGCCGCAGCTCGGACCGCTATAAGCCCGGCCTCTGTCGAGAAGGTGCCCGTGCTGGAATGAAACGTCTGTACTGGATTCATGAACATAGCATAAGGCGCCATGAGTGAAATAGGCATCCAGAGGCGTTTCAGTTTGCGGGGAGCTCTGGCAGCTTCCTCTTCTCCAGCGAGGCCGTCGGCTGGGGTGCGATGCTTCAGGATGCGTTTCCGTTGTTGACCCTTTCCTCGATCCTTGGAGATGGGCCCCAGATCGCGTTCCAGAGAGTCCCGTGCGGGCCCGCGTTGAAGTCTGGCAAGTCGAACAACTCCAGAGGGACGTAGAATCTCCGTGTCAGACTGGAGGCGCTGCAGCAGCCGTCGTTGAATACTCTGTCCCTTTCTCTTCTCCAGAGCCAAAACAAAGGCTGGCTTCTGATGTAAATGCACGGTAATCCCACGCTCGATAGGGAGTTTCGCCATCTTGGGTTCGCCGCTCGGCGTACTCTTTGCACTTTTCGCACTCGACTTGGTCAGTTCGGGATCCACTTCAACACCGGGTGGGAAGTAGTATCGAGCGGTCGTGGTAAGTATCTTGTGCTGCAAGTCTTTGATTGTTGGATGATCAGGCTGCAATTCAGGCTTGGCGACAATGCTCTTTGTTACCATTACCCCTTTGCTGTCCCTCCCACTGAATGTGAACTGCCGAAGTTTGCCTGCATCAATCAGGTGTTTAATAGATGTCTTGACCGTTCGCATGTCTGGCTTCTCCTTGTACTTCGTCTTCTTCCATGCAGTTGCAAATGGATACCATATTTCGGTACCCATGGAGTATGCGCCTCCAGCTTTCTCAATAATATCCATGATAATGCTCCTGCGTAAGACCGCAACAGAGCCTAGCTTGTCTTGCCTCTTTGTGCGCGGTCGATGCCCCTCTGGCGTCTGCGATACGTCGCGCTGCTCAACCTCCGGTGTCCCGTCAGTGGGTTTCAGGTCGATAACGTTGGCTTTTTGGATGTTATGAATAGCGGCGCCTGATTCGGCAGTTGCAGCCGGAGTGGCCTCATCCACTGCCATATCCTTGCGTGCTGTGTCCTCCAATGGCGTGCCGATTGCTCCTGCGTCAACCGGGCGGTGTTCTCCATTCTCGCCTTTGGTCGGCTTTGATGGAGCAACCTGCTTCCCAACGTTTTCCATGATGGCTGCCGGAGAAAGAGTTGAGGCAGTTTCTTCACCTCGCAAAGCTAGAGGTTCATATCGACGCTTTTTGTACGGTGTCTCTAAGTTTTGACGAGGCTGTGACAGGCCGACTTGCTTTTTTTCTGCTGGTGACGGAGCTTGTGTCATCTCAGAGGCTAGTCCTTGCCTGCTCTTGTCGACTGCAACATCTTCCCCGGTAGGAATTGGAGACGGCTCCCTCCTCCGTTTGCTGGCCCGAGAAGGAGCGTTCTTGACGGCGTCGATAGAACGCTCACCGGTCTGCTGTCCGTCTGAAAATGGTTCCTCAGACCTTGAGACTTCAGCCTCAGCGACTTGCCGAGAAACCTCGGTGCCTTCAAGGCGCTGCTGTTTAGATGGTCTTTGATGATCCGGCTCAGCTTCTGCGTCAAGGGGAAACCGACTCCGAAGCGTTCTTTTCGTACCTCTCGAAGGAGTGTCCGGCGCTGCAGAAGTCGTTGCAGGGGTGTTGATCGCAGTAAATGAGGGAGCAGGAGTTGTTTCAACACTTTGGGCGAGAGAAACTTGTTGACTAGTGCTAGCAGCTTCATCTTCTGGTTCGCCTTCCGGGCTCTCAGTAAACCAAGGCAGTGATGCTAACTTTGGCGACCTGAAAACTGCAAGGCGGGAGATTCTCGGACGACCTTGTCGTTTCCCCGCGGGTCTGCGTCGTCCCCGAGGGGTGATGTACACACCAGGTTCTGTACGCTCAAGGAGCAAGACACTGTATTCAGTCCACGTTTCATCCAGCCCCAGCGCCTCGAGTTTCTCTTTTTCAGACATCCCTCGAAATCTCTCTTCGTCGCGTTGCGCTTTCTTCAACCGCTTGATAGCCAGGTGGTCTTGTTCAGGAATGACATCCCCTTCCAATTCAGACAGATGTTCCTTTTTGAGCTTGGGTTTGTTGGGGGTTCCTTTCGGACGTCCGACTCGATTCATACCTGGCAAGCCGAAACGTATTACTGATTGAGAGTTAACACCAGTGATTCACTTATTGGCAGGGGCCAAACTTACCATAGCTACCATCCTTCAGCCGTAACGGCATAGGATCATTTCCAGTGCAATTGTAATCTGCTGGATTGACTGCCAGGATGCCAGCCAGAAGCGATGCATTGCCATTCTTGATAAGCTCCTTCGTAGGGACGGCTTTCAGCAATCCATTCTCGTCTAGATCGGGAACAGCATCTATGGGCGGTACAGAAATTTTCTCTGCCTTGGTGTTTCTGGGAACAAATTCGACAGCTTCCCACGATGCCTCTCCGGCATCAACGAGTTTTTGGAAGTTGGCCGTTGAGTAATGGATATAATGCGTGATGGTCTTTTCAAGTGCCGTGTCTCGCACAATGGCTAGATGGCGCAGATGCAGGGGCTGCGACAATTGCCAGCATTCCACTAACCGGGCCAAGGTGTTTTCAAGTGGTCTGCGGAAAAAGCTCCCGAAACCGGCTCGCAGGATGTCCTAAAGGAGGTCAGCAGAAGCCACTTCGCACATTGCGTTAACCATTTGCACACTCACAAGGTTGGTA